AAATCGTGGCCTGGCTTTTTAAAAATATAGGAGAAATTCTGTTTGGTTGTACTGATGCAATCTTTTTGGCTTCAGTAGGTTCTGGCACTAGATTTTGCCCCAATATGTGGTTAAAAAGACACTTTTAAAACATAATTGTTTGCTATCTATTAAGATCCCTCATTTGCTGCTTTCAGCCCAAACCTTTCCTCATCTCCTCTGAGCTATAGTTGGGTTAAAAAGATCACACCTATAGGGACCAAGTTATTCTGAGTTTAAAACAATACCTCCCTAAGTATCAATTAATAAGTTAGCCCTAGTAAAACAGCTACCCTATGCCAAGAGGTGCTGCTTTCAAGCAACAGCTCAGATCTCCTCAGTCCTAGGTGGTGCAGTGTAGCTCAGAACTATACTGATTGCACCATGTCATGAACATAAGAATGGCCATGCTGGGTCAGACCAATGGTCCATCTAGCCCAGTATCGTTGATTTTGTATCATCTACAAACTTTGCCACCTCAGTATTTACCCCTTTTTCCAGATCATTTATGAATATGTTGAACAGCACTGGTCCCAGTACAGATCTTTGGGGGGCCTGCTATTTACCTATCTCCATGTGAAAACTAACCATTTATTCCTACTCTTTGTTTCCTGTCTTTTAATCAGTTACTGATCCATGAGAGACCTTCCCTCTTATCCCATGACTGCTTACTTTGCTTAAGAGCCTTCGAGAAACCCTTTGACAAGGTCCCTCACCAAAGTCCAAGTACACTCTATCCACTGGATCACCCTTGTCCACATATTTGTTGACCCACGAAAGAATTGTAATAGATTGGTGAGGCATGGTTTCTCTTTACAAAAGCTGTGTTGACTTTTCCCCAACATATCGTATTCATCTATATGTCTGATAATTCTGTTCTTAACTATAGTTTCAACCCATTTGCCTGATACTGAATTTAGGCTTACTGGCGTGTAATTGCCAGGATCGCCTCTAGAGCCTTTTTAAAAAATTCAGCGTCACATTAGCTATCTACCATCATCCGTTGCAGAGGCTAATTTAAGCAATAGGTTACATATCCAAAATTAGTAGTTCTGCAATTTCAGATTAGAGTTCCTTCAGAACTCTTGGGTGAATACCATCTAGTCCTGGTGAATTATTACTGTATAATTTATCAGTTTGTTCTTGTATTGACTCCTCAATCTGGGACAGTTCCTCAGATTTGTCACCTAAAAAGAATGGTTCAGGTGTGGGAATCTCCCTCACATCCTCTGCAGTGAAGACCAATGCAAAGAATTCATTTAGCTTCTCTGAAATGGCCTTATCTTCCTTGAGTGCTCCTTTAGCACCTCAATTATCCAGTGGCTCCACTGACCGTTTGGCAGGCTTCCTGTTCTGATGTACTTAAAAAAAAAAAAAATTGTGGCTAGTTTTCGTGTCTTTTGCTTGTTGCTCTTCAAATTGTTTTTTGGTCTACCTAATTATATTTTTACACTTGACTATGCTCCTTTCTAGTTTCTTCAGTACAAGGCTGGCGCAACCCATTAGGCGACCTAGGCAGTCGCCTAGGGCGCTACAATTTGGGGGGTGGCGACCGCGGCGGTATTGGTATAGAGGGGGGAGGGATAGCTCAGTGGTTTGAGCATTGGCCTGCTAAACACAGGGTTTTGAGTTCAATCCTTGAGGGGGCCACTTAGGGATCTGGGGCAAAAATCAGTACTTGGTCCTGCTAGTGAAGGCAGGGGGCTGGATTCAATGACCTTTCAGGGTCCCTTCCAGCTCTATGAGATAGGTATATCTCCATATATTTATTTTTAATAGAGCATTCCCTTTAATAAATCCTTCCCTAAGGGATGAGTCTGTCTGAACCGTGTGCTTCTCCGCACCTGTCGGCTTTCCCTAAGGCCTTACTGTAAAAACTTCTCTATGACCTTTTAAATTTTACATGCCAGCAATTGGTTTAGGTGGACCCATCATTCCTCTATAGGCTCCTCCTTTCCCAAAAGGTTCTCCAGTTCCTAATAAACCTAAATTCCTCCACCAAACAATTGAGACCCTGCAGTTCTGCCTGTCTAAGTGGCCTTATGCATAGAACTGGAAGCATTTCAGAGAATGTTTCCATGGAGGACCTGGACTTTAATCTCTTACCTAGCAGCCTAAATTTGGCCCCTGTGATCTCTCTCTTACTTTCCCTATGTCATTTGTACCTGCCTGTACCACAACCACTGGCTCCTCCCCAGCACTGCACATAAGTCTGTCTCTATGTGTTGAGAGGTCCGCAACCTTCACACCTCGCAGGCAATTCACCATGAAGTTCTCCCAGTCATCACAAACCCAACTACCTATATTTCTAAAATCAAATCCCCCATTACTATTGCCTGTCTCTTCCTAATAACAGAGGTCCCCTCCCCGGGAGGGGTATCCTCAGTGTGAGAAGATACCATGGCATCATCTGGAAGGATGGTCCCAACTACAGGATCATTCTCTCTGCTCCAGCTTGATGTTCTCCTTCCACAAAACTTTCATTCTCCTCAACAGCACAGAGACTGTCAGACTGGATGTGGGACTGTTCTACTGTGTCCCAGAAAGTCTCCTCTGTGTACTTCTCTGTCTCCTTAACTTCTCACGTTCAGTCACTCTGGTCTCAAGAGCCCGTACTCGGTCTCTGAGGGCCATGAACTGCTTGAGATGACTGAGTTTTTTAGACTAACCTAATCTAATGAATTTTTAAACAAACCTTAATAGGCCAGCTCTAGCTCCCAGTTATACCGCTGTAAATCCAGTCATTCCACTGCCTTCAGCTACTGGAAAATGGGCACAAAAATTCTGTCTGTTGTCCTTGTTATCACGTAGCCATTGTCACATACCTGCTTTGCCAAATAAGTTGTTTAGTGCTCCTGAGAATGGAGAGCTCATGGAGAACACGGGGGCAGAATCACCCAGGGACGTTAACTGTAAGATGGAAACTGGTTTTAGTTAAAAGTCAGGAACATTTTCTGCTACATTTTAAAAGAGATTGTGTGAATAGAATGCTGTTCAGTGGAGCACACAGGAGGCATATAAATGGGGTGTGAGATAGGCTAGATAAAGGGGCCTTTTAAACCAGTGGTTCTCAACCAGGGGTACACGTATCCCTGTGGGTACACAGAGGTCTTCCAGGGGTTACATCAACTCTTCTAGATACTTGCCTAGTTTTACAACAGGCTACATAAAAAGCACTAGCGAAGTCAGTACAAACTAAAATTTTGTACAGACACTGACTTGTTCATACTGCTCTATATGCCATACACTGAAATGTAAGTACAATATTTATATTCCAATCAATTTATTTTATAGTGATATGGTAAAATGAGAAAGTCAGCAATTTGCCATTAACAGTGTGCTGTGACACTTTTGTAGTTTTATGTTTGATTTTGTAAGCAAATCGTTTTTAAGTGAGGTGAAGCTTGGGGGGGTACGCAAGACAAATCAGACTCCTGAAATGGGTATAGCAGTCTGGAAAAGTTGAGAACCACTGCTTTAAAGCAATCTATTGCAGAGGGAATAATGATGCTACTGGGGCATTCAGTAGCATTCAACCTATCAGCACAAATTAGAGCCTTCACTTCTCTCTCTGTTTGCTTTCTTGTGGCTTGCTCTGTTTGGACTGGATTGTGGTTTTAGTCTGAATTGTTTGTGTGTGTGCTGTGACTCTATTATTTGTCTGGCATATTCTCCAGCCAGGAATATGTACATTTATGATAATGATCGTGGACAAGAGAGAAGCAGACAGATTAAACTTAAAATAAAGTACAAGACACAGCCACAAACAGCCTCTGCCTAAATGGCGCATATGATATATGGGGTTAGACTACAAGACCTTTCACTCCAGATAGCACAGGGCTTCTGCCACTTGAGCTCAAGGAGAATTCCCATTAGCATGACCAGTAGCACTATGCCTGACATCCTCTTTAAGTCAGTCATCAACAGATGAGATTGCCACAAGCATTTCAGCAAGTCTGATTCTAACCACCAGAGGGCAGGTGGAACATAAAGCTTATGCTCTAATAAATTTGTTAGTCTCTAAGGTGCCACAAATACTCCTGTTCTTTTTATAAAACAATTGGTATTTTACAGAGGGGCAGAGAGAAAATGAGTTTATCTTGCTGGAGATGAAGGACATTTCCTTAATGGAAAAGTCTCATAGAATTCTATAGGGCTGGAACCAACAGGTTTCTCCAGAGATAAAGAGGGGTTCAATAGAAACACTCTAAAAGCCTATAGAATTTAATGAGATCTCTGCAATAGATCTGTTTAAACTTTCTATAGCAGGGTCCTCATTCCCTATTAAATGTGATAGTGTTTTTATAAGGTTCGTCAGACTGACTCACTGTGGAAAAAAGGATGCAATTTAATAGCTCTGAAACACAAGTTCATAAGGTGATCAAGGAAGAAGATGAACGTGAATTAATTATTTTTAAGAAGGATGGTCACACAGGGCCTGATCTGCTTTGCTTACTCTCTCCTTATTGGCAAAACTCCCATTGAAAGAGGCCAAAATCCTGAAGGGTGCAATTTCCACTGATGTTGCTGGGAGTTTGAGTTGGCCCAATGGGGGCTTTTCCCGAATCAGGTGTGTGTAATTTTAGTTAGGCTACTCATTTCTGATTGGAGTGGAGCACTGGATGAGTTTCCGATCGAACACTATTACCCATTCATATCAACAACCCAACCAGTGGCTGCAGATTAGCAGGTACCAGATGAACAATGACATATTTTTTTTAAAAAGCTGTATGGAAATGTTCCCAGCCTGACAGGAGGCAGACACGCTCTTTATAAAGAGTCTGTAGTGAAGGTGTGTTGGTGAAGTCCTCCGTCAACCCACAGAATAAGTACAGAACAGGCAGGCACAGTGCAAGCTCTCCTGAACTGTCTGGACAAAGTGCCTTAAACTATGTGGAGGTATCAGCTCTGGGACTGCAAGTGTATTTCATCCTGGGATTCTAATGTGCCTGCCAGCAAGGGTGCTAATTCATATCAACTGCAGCAGTGGCTTCTCGACAGCTATAACTCATTCGTCTGTGCATAAACTCCATTGTCTCTCATAGGCCCATATTTCTATGAATTTAACCATTTAAAAATGTCAGGGCCATAGGAATGGCCATACTGGATCAGACCTGTGGTCCATCTGGTCCAGTATCCAGATGCTACAGAGAGAGGTGGAGGAAACCCTGCAGTAGGAAATTCTGGGATAAAGCTGTGTCCAGAGAAAGTCCCTCCTGACCTCCAATAGTCAAGGCATGTCTACATTGCATCTGGGAGCGACCCTCCCAGCCCAGGCACACAGACTCATTCTAGTGGGCAGGGGCGGCTCCAGGCACCAGCACAGCAAGCGCGTGCTTGGGGCGGCAAGCCGCGGGGGGCGGCTTGCCAGTCACTGTGAGGGCGGCATGGCTGCATTCGGCGGCATGCCTGCGGGAGGTCTGCTGGTCCCGCGGCTTCGGCAGCAATTCGGCGGTGGGGATGCTGAAGGCGCAGCACCGGCGGACCTCCCGTAGGCATGCCGCCGAAACCGCCTGACAGCCGTGCTTGGGGCGGCAAAATACATAGAGCCGCCCCTGCTGGTGGGGCTCTCATAGCTGTGTAGACCTCACAGCTTGGGCCGGAGCAAAGGCTCTCAAGCTTGGAGGGGAGGAGGTTGGAAGGGGTGGGCATGAGAGCCTGAGCTGCACTGTCAAAGCAACATCTAAACAGCTATTTTTAGAGTGCTAATGTGAGCCCTGCTAACACGTGCCCTTCGAAGCGGTTATGCCCCGAAGCATGTGGATTTCTATCCCTTCCTGCTTGTAGTCAGTGGGCACTTCCCCCAGAATCAGGCACCCTATTTGTTTCTATGGTCCTGTGTGGGTCAATGGTAGAGCTGGTTGAAATGCTTTGAATTTCAAAAAAAATCAACCAAATTTCAAAGTTTCAAATAAATTTTGAATAATTTTTAAAAGTAAAAATATTGATTAAATTTTCATAACTCCACTTCCCCCATTTTTGACTAACTATAGGTCAAAATATTTTGAATTTTGAAAAGATTAAAAAAAAAAATTCTCCCAACTCTTCTCTTTTTTGAGCAGTTCTAGTAAATAAGAATGAGTATAAAATATGTTTGACTAAAAATACATCTGAGGCACTGCAGAGTATTAATAAAGTAACTATGAAATCCATTCTTAGAGAGGATTAACCTTTGTTTGCGGCGTACTCCATCTTCCAAGTGAATATTTGTTCAGCAAGGCTTCTACTACCTGTGGTTTGCAAACAAAGTAAATTAGTAAATCCATGCAGTCAATTCAAATACTAAGCATATCTTTGTATCAGGTGTAAGACATTAGTTGAATTCTTACCTTCTTGTCCCTGAGAGTTCCAAACACCAGAATGAATAATCCCTATAAAAATATGATATTTAAATATAAATATATGTATTTGTCCACATTTAACCACACTAGAGCATTCCTCGCCCACCATTTGTCTGTCTTGACTATTTAAACTATAAGCTCTTCAGTGCAGGAACCGTTTCTTGCTATGTGTTTGTACAGAACCTAGCACAACGGGGTCCTGATCTTGTTTCAGGTTTCTAGGCATTGCTGTAATATAGATAGTAATAATAATTCAGCTCACAGACGTGACACAAACCAACACAGACAAGGAATTTCCAGGTTATGGATGTCATTGTGTCTTTAAATTATCCCATTTTTCCTGGGTACTGCATGAGAAGATGGCGACCAGTTAAATGTCCTGTTCTATAATGCAGTAGTGCTTATTCAATGTTTCCACAATATTGACTGCCATTCTTTCTCAGGCTGTTACTGTGTGGTTAACATGTTGCTATCAAAAAGTAATATGCAAAGTGACTAGGGATGTAAAATTTTGAAGACGGGGGGAAAAACATTTTTTTCCTCTTTTTGTTTCAGAAAAGAAATGAAATTTTGTGAAAAACTGAAATATCTGCAGTAGTTACTTGCTTATCAAAACTAAACTTGATTAACTTCTGTAAGAAGGAGAAATGTATTATGCATAATTTAGTTAGCACATAAAAAGTACTGTTTGGTATACTTATGAAATAAATAAGTATAAATTCTATTGTTTTGATTCAGATAATAAGGACAAATACATCTAGCATTAGGGATGAGCTGCAACTTTATGCTCAGGTACTTAGGTGCATTTTTTTGCCAAGAGAAACATTTTGTTCATTTAAAATACTTATTAGTTATTATTAGAAAATATTTTGAAGGCCGGAAGGTCAGCAGTAATATTATTTTAAACATTATTCTAAACATTATTTCGCTGAAATATTTCATAACAGTTCCTTTTCAATTTCCCCCAAAATTGACAATTTTTCCATACCGGGCAAAAAAAATGGAAAAAAAACCCCGATATTTATTCCAAACATTTCCTTTCCCCCCCAGAGCCGTACCTTAGTAACACAATAATTCTGATAGTAATTTTCAATTTTATAAGGCATTTCACCCAGGGAATCTGAGTGGTTTACACAAATGAATTATTATTTGTTAACAGTGCTGGGTGGAGAAAGGTAATTCCATTTTATGGAGAATTTGATATTTCAGAATTTGTTGGATGTTTTTCTCATCTGCAAAGAAACCAAAAATTTCCAAATTCTCAGTGAAAGGGAATATGGTCCCTGTTCTAGAACAGTCTGCCTGATGGAATGCCATGGAGCTATAGACCCTGAAAGCCCTGGGCAGAATGAAAAGCAGAGAGAGGACTAGAACCCAGGAGGCCAGACTCCCAGGTTACTTCATTAACGGTTAGAACTCATTCTGCAAGTAAAAATCTTAGCTCATGATTGGCAGAAAACAGTCAGTCAGGTGGGTTGGTCCATTTCAGTTGTTTACTTCCCATTAATATTGCTCATCAATTTACTGTGTCTTTGATACCTTAGATCTGGACTGCCGTCCTACAATCCCTAATTATTTGGAAGCACTGGAGGAAACAGAATCTGATGGTAGCTCAGGATACATAATAAATGGGAATACATTCTTAACCATAGTGAATCTTGCTCCCATGCACAAAGTAAAGCTGTTTGCGTAATTTGGGGAAAGAATTACCTCACAACTTATCGGCAAAGACCAATCAGTAAGAAACACAATCTATTTACTGACAAAGAGTTCTGTGGCACCTTATAGACTAACACGTATTGGAGCATAATCTTTCATGGGTGAATACTCACTTCGTCAGATGCATGTAGTGGAAATTTCCCAGAGGCAGGTATAAATATGCAGGCAAGAAATCACTCTAGAGATAACAAGGTTAGTTCAATCAGGGAGGATGAGGCCCTCTTCTAGCAGTTGCAAACTCATATAAATGATATGATCAATACAGCTCTAACATTATTATATGCATTGATAGAGGTACCCATTACTGCAGAATCTGGCTGAGCTTTTTATATTTTAGATAATGAGCAGAGCGCACGCTCTCTCTCTCTCTCTCAAACCCCCCCCCCGCAAAAACAGGGGGCCATATTCTTGGATGTTGACATTGTTTTATTCTTGGATGTAAAAAGGAGTCTAAATTAAGCTTTCCACAGTTGCCCATAAAGGAAATCTACAAGGAAGTTTTTTACAGCAGAAACTCCTCTTGAAATCTGGCCTCCTTTCTTGTCAAAGAGACTGTCTTAACAGAAGCAATAACAATTTGCTTGCATATGGATGCCAAGATCTTACTTTGCATTTTTGATTATTTCAATCTAATTTTACCTCTCCCTAACATTTAATTGGGTTCCTTCCATCACTTACTAAGGGAATCAAGGCTGGGCCTTGGGTGAAATGAAAGAAGGACCAGCCTGCAGGAGCTGCTTTATGCTACTACTGGATAAAGGTTTTCAAAACTCTTCATCATTCACAGCACTTGCTGTAGCTATTCAATAGTTAGGCTACATCTAACCAAAGAGAATGATCTAAGCAAGGAGAGAAAACTAACAGACACGTGTTCACACTTTCCTACCTGCAAACACTCTGAACCATTCTATGACTGGGCTCTAGATTTCAGGTTTCTTGTGCCACGTAAACCTTGCTTTAGAGAGAAAGAAGTGTTGCAATGCATGGTACTAATACAGCTGGAAGCTATAAGAGCAGCTCTGATTAGGGGCATCTGAATGAGACATTTGAAGTAAAAACCCTCAGCTGAGCAGCTGCCAATTTAAAACATACACCATATGCCTCCCACACACTCTCGTCAGCTTTTAAACACACAATGCCTTTTTGCTTTACTTCAGATTACAAGTATTAAACGCTCCCTTATGATCTTCACAACTAGGGTCTGACATACAATTAAGAGACTTGGATCAGCCTACCTAGGTTAACCTTCAGAAGCAGCACAAAGGAAGAAATGGACAGATTGCAAAAGGAACAGTTTGGTTTTTACAGTTTCCTTCTGTAAAGAATTAATAACATGAAAGGCGTTGAAACCTATCACCATCCACTGCTGAACGACAAACAGCTGAAATCTTCATGAAGTAGACCAGAGCCAGGAAGGGTACTGATCGCAATCTCAGAGAGCAGCTACCTAAATAGGATTTTAGTTTAAATGTAGCCCATTTGGATTGCACACTGTTTAGTGAAATGAGATAATAAACCAACAGACTTCTTAATTAAGACCATCAATAATAGGACAGTAAGGCAGGCTACCTGCTTGCTTATTTTTCAATTACTTTAGTGCAATTCAATTGACACTAGAGAAAAGCTAGTGGTTTCCCCCACCCTCAAACACAGCTAAAAGACAGGAAAGAGGAGACTATCCATTCTGGGTAGCTGTTTGGCTATGAACAGGAAGAAGCTATCCAGACTCTGTAATGCTTACGCATACTAAAACATCCCAAAACCAACAGGCTATAATGTGTTATAGGATTAAGCGTCCCCTCCTTTTAATATGTATTTTTATGTAGGCTTTTGGGAATGTATTTTATTTTTGTATGTGCTATGCTACTATAGTTAGTGAAAAGCTTGTTTTCTTTTGTGCGTGTCAAGTATTTGCTCTAGAGTATCAAAAAGTTCCAGTACAAAAACCAGTCAGTCAACCTCTGCTTCAGCTGCTATGACAGCACTGAACAATACAATAGACTTGCGCAGCCTCAGGCAGAATTACAAAGCTATGCATGACCATGGACTGAAGACAATGTGAACTATAGCACCATTAGAAAGCGTAATAAAGACATATGTTTTAGCAAGAAGCAAGTAAATCAAGAGTGAAACACTAGGACAAGGGTAGTTGTCTTGCAAAATCTAAGTGCCACAGAAATAGTTTTGTTTGGTTTTCTGGTTTCAGTGAAAGATTTACTTTTAATAAGAGATGCCCATTGTGGACAATTTCCACTGTGGACAATTCAGTATCGTTTTAGTAGGTGATAGCACGAGATTCTATTTTCAATAGGTAAAGCTAACTTTTAAGTGTAAAATATAAAGAAAGCCAAGACAGCCATTCTAATTTAAAATTTCTACTAGTGATGCAATGGAGAAGTTTAAAAAAAATTAACTGACAGTGCCACACACAGGATGTGAAGTGGCTTTGTGTCACTGCTGTTGTAAGGCCTTTTAGTAATTTACCTAAATAAAACTGAACTCTATTTAGAAGTAAATGTTCACACCTCAACTGCTAGAAGAGGGCCTCATCCTCCCTGATTGAACTAACCTTGTTATCTCTAGAGTGATTCTTGCCTGCATATTTATACCTGCCTCTGGGAAATTTCCACTACATTCATCTGACGAAGTGAGTATTCACCCACGAAAGCTTATGCGCCAATACTTCTGTTAGTCTATAAGGTGCCACAGGACTCTTTGTTGCTTTTTACTGCTCCAGACTAACACGGCTACCCCTCTGATACAATCTATTTACTGTAACTTCAGGGGCGTGAGCATCTTAGTCCTTCCTGTCTTCTTCTTCTATGAGTCTGTGTTAAGTGGTCATGGAAAATAAAGCAGTGCATACATGATACTCACTTGGAAAGCATTGAGGAGAGTAAATAGTATATGGAATACTATTGAGCTGTCTTTGTTAAGGGTTGCGACTCCAAATCCCCAGGTAAGGCCAAATAGCGGTGTCAGAGTGGCAACATTTTTGATGGCTTGAATCAAGGAGCTCCTCTCCTGCTTGCTTGGCTTCTCCCCAATGGCAGGCCTTAGTATTTTGACTAGGATTACAACGGCAATGATTGAATTCACAGCCACAATGATCAGTGCGGGTATAACGAAGGCAAGAAGAGCTTTGCTTTTCTCCCAGTTGAGCCAGCAGGCATTTTCCCTTTTGTAAGTGTTATGCGGCTGAGTGACAGCTATGGTGATGACTGATATAATAAGCGGGCACCCATAGCCCAAAGAGAATGCTACAGCTTTCTGGATGGTCTTGCTAGTGTCATGTAAAATGAAGACAAGGCGATAGAAGATCATGAGGCCCAGGGCAAGCATCCAGAAAAAGACACTGAGGTAGAACAAGTGGATGAAAAGGGTGGCAGCTATGCAGACATTCCCATTCACTAGCTCCTTTTTGTCTTGTAGGAAGGCAGTGACAATGAACCAGCTGTCTGCAATCAGAAGAGACACAGCTATGTTCAATATACAGACGTGACGCATGTAGGAGGTTCTGTTTTTGGTCACATATTTCCATACCAGGGATTCAATTAATATGCAGATCATCAAGCTCGCTATGGAAATGCTCAGGCCGATGTAGGTAATGTAATCTAGTGACTGCAGTGCGGCTCTGGAGGACCCCTGGTCGAATGACATCAGAATTGAGAACGAAGTCAAGTGACTGCAGGTGCAAATGATGTTGTCTCCTTCATCCTTCGGGTGACAACCGGTGTCATCCCATCCTCCTACAGCAGCAGAGACAGAGTTGTTCCAAAAGACACACTGGGGTTCTTTCATGGACAAATTGCTTTTGGCAAATGTCATAGAGATCTGGAAGTCCGGAGGGAGCATGCTGTTCGTTGTTGTCATCATCACCAAGCCGTTCACATCCTTAACTGTCTCATTGGGGTTGGGCAGAATATAGCTGAGGTTTGAGAAAGCCACGGTGATGATGGTCGAGTTTTGTTTCAAGTTCTTAATTGTATCGCTCTTAATTAGCACATTACCGCTGAGGTTTGCTGAATTGGAGAAAGTAAAGTTCTTATTATAGTCTGATGGGCTATTTTCTGTGATAACTATACCTTGCAGCTGAAGGTTGGTGTCGGTGATAGGAGGAATGGTATTATTAACTGGCCGGAGGGACCAGGAAAATTTCTCCACTGAATCCAGTAACAGAGAACTGTTCACTGTTTCCTCATTGTTCAGAGGTTTCCAGGCAAGTATTCTGGAATTGTTGATAATAATGTTCACTGTAGAGAGGAAATTCTGTAATAAAGACAAACATCTGGTATTAATGAAGTTCTTTACGATCATTGCTACTATCAATAATAACATCTGAAATTTATCTTTTTAGCCTGGCCTCTCTCAAACAATCCCTCAGACCTTTCCCCCTGGATGTCCCGTCTCAAGTCAGGTCACTGAAAGCAGAGGTGCTCATCTTTCCTTCTAATACTGCTACACTTTTGCCTGGCTCCAGTCCTTGCTCCCAGGTTTGCATCCTCTGTGTTATCTCTAACTCCAGTCTCCCTTCTGCTCAGACATCCAGTCCACTTAGCTGGTGTAAATCAGCAAGTCTCTTATTGAAACTTGCCATTTCTTCCAGCTAGATATATTACTAAAAATCAGCCCTGTCCTCTCTAATTCCACTTCCTGTCCATTCCTTGTTCATCTCTTGCAATTCACCTGTTTTTATTGCCAATTCGTTTCCCTTACCTGATCACAACCCCTCCACATTTATCCTCCTCATTTTTCCCGTACCTGCTTCTAACCCATCATTCCTCAACACACACCTCTGCCATTCACACACACTCTTCACCTCAGCTGCCGCCCCCCGTTTCCATCATCTTGGTTTCACTCATCCCCCAGATAACTCATAACCCCTCTATAAACACCATAATTTATTAAAGAAACAATCTCCCAAGGCCTTCCTTTATAAATCTAGGGGAACCATCTTGATTTGCGTAACTGTGTGACCATACCACCGTAACCTCTGTACTCCTCCTTTTCTCCACTATCCCTACTGTTTATCAGACTCACTTGTGTATCATGTCTAAAATGAAGACCAGAAGCTCTGCGGCAGAGACTGTCTTCTATGTTCTGTAAAGTTCCTAGCACACTTCTAGATGCTGTACAGATAATAATCGTCCTCTCTCCTATTGCTCCAAACATGTCACCCTTTTGTGAATCCTTTCATATAAAAACAAAGCTCCTGGTCTTCACCTTCAGGGCCTTTCATCTGTATCTTTGTTCTTGTTTCCTCTTACCTTATCACTCCCTCAACTCCTCCCTAGTCCACGTACTAACCAATCAGGGAGTATATTCCCATCTGATGCAAAGGCCAAAGAGCCTACCAGCTTCTATAAGGCTTAACTGTAACTTACTGTCATTGTGCGTTGCTCTGCGTCTGTTGGGATATTTGAAACCAAATCCAGAATGGTAATTACTGCCATCAGGTTTGCAGGTGAAGTGTTTATTTCTTGTAGTTCTTTTATTGTAGTATTATGAAGAGTCTCAAGATATGTGGGTAGCTCTTCTTCTGCCCGTGGACCATACACCAAAGACTAGAATGGAAATTAAACACGATGTTACATATATGCAATGCACCTGAGGCTTGATCTTCAGTCAAGATACACAATGAGTACATAGGGAAAGACATGTAACTCCCGCATTGGTCTAGTTGGACAGGGAAACAGGGTGATGGCAGGTGATTTCTAGAAGGGAAGACAAAGGATGCAGCAGCAGGACTGTTGTTGTATCCAATGGACAGTGCAGATCAGAAACGGGGTTATGACAAAAGCAAAAATGAGAGTGGTCCTACCAACCGCTCAGCCAGAGACCATGCTGTGGGAATTATTCCAACCCAGAGACTAGCTGACAGCAAGGGATGGCTTACGCTCTGGAGCTACCTGTGAAGAGCAGTCATACGTGTGGGGTGTGTCTGCAAATAGAGGACCACTGTTAATGAGCAGTGTAAAGGCTGTGGCAGGACAGAGTGATGGTCACCATCCAGCCACTGAAGTATGAACAGAGGGCAGGAACATGCTCCTGGGAGTTGCAAGCCAGCAAATCTCACTGAGGGATAGGCAGCACTACAGTAGAACCAGAGGCAAGAAGCAAGTGTTGTGCTAGTGTTGGACAGCTCTGGAGAGAGGCTTGTCTATTTGACTTTGTCATCATTTCCCTCCTTACTTCCTGTGAAGGCTCTGTGTTGTGGTGACCCTCCCTCTGGCTGTGGAGTGCCATGAATGCTCCCATTCAGAGCTAGTCATGGTATGTGTACTATATACACTCACCTACGGCAGATAAAAGCCCTACTACTTCTAACAGCTAAGGGTTATTCACCTTTAAGGCAAGTGGTAGAAGCCTGTGATTATGGTCCCCAGGTTGGTTAGGTGTGGTATAGCACACACATTGTGAGTAGGGGATAAAGCCTTGATTCAGGACAGCACTTAAACACATGCTTACCTTTAGGATGTGCTTAAGTCTCATTGACTTCAATGGGACTTAAGTATGTGCTTAAAAGTATGCATGTGCTTACGTGCTGTCCGGAGTGGGGAATGCTTTCCTGAACCAGGGCCTATTTGCCTAGTCAGAGAGACCTGAACAGTAATGTCTGCACAGTAGGTAAGTATCATGCAGACTAAGCCGATGTTTCTGCACCTTTTCAGGTTGGTAACCCCTTATTCAGAATCAAATATTTGCACTACCCCCTTATATTTACTATGGAAACAAGCACAAAATGTGTATCTACAATAACAGCGCTCAGCCTCTATAATTTATTTGTGTGTGTGTGTGTGTGTGTGTGTGTGTGTGTGTGTGTGTGTGTGTGTGTTTCGAGAGGTTGACAGAGAATAGTGGACCCTGCAGGCTAAGGGTGTGTGGAGCGTGGGGGAGCGAGATTTTCTTTGCTTTAGACTGTAATAGAATTTTCAATGCCTCACAACCCTGTTCCTTCGGTTGGCTTGACAAGCGCTGCACCAGGCTGTTCTAAATTACTCTGCCGGACTCATAGCTCCCCGTAGCCCATGGAAGAAAGGGTTTATTACCTAGCTTTAAAAGCACTTTTCACTGAACAGTTGCATTTTTTCCAGTATTGAATGTCTTTTTAAATGGTTAAAGCATTTTGAGCAATAGAAACAAATTGAAAGCCCTGTCTACTCTTTATTTAAAACTACTGAAAAAACATGAAAGGAACACAAAGTTGTTACCTCAGCCCTATTGAGCAGTGTGTTTATTTGGTCAGATATGCAGCTGTTGCTAGCAACCTTCCAGTTGGTGTTACACACATAGATTACAGTCCCTCTAACGGTGATGCTCATGCCATTCACATCTTTAGAGCCTGGGCATGGTTTTTTTATCTGTGCTCCTTGCTGTCCCACACCAATGCTGCCTGAGCACGTAACTTTATTTTCTGTATTAAGAAAAAGAAATAAATGGATGACAAGGAATAGAATTCTCTAATTTCTCTGTATTTTCCTTATTACAGATAATTTTCCTTCTGGATGTTTATTTACATATAGATATAGCTATAATGTGTGTCTCATCTGTCTGTCTGTAAGTCTATCTATCTATCTATCCACACACACATATTTCCCTGGCACTCCTCACTGTAGTATTGTATCTGCATGCCTCACAAGCATTAATGAATGAAACCTTGCAACGCTTGTGAGACAGAAAAGTCCTCTTATCTCCAGGATGGAAAACTCAGCACTGAGTAATTTACCCAAAGTAATTTACAAGAATTCTGTGGCAAAAATGAGAATAGAGCCAAGATCTTCATCCTAGACCTAGGACCTTAACCACAAGATTATCCTTCTTCCTAAAACAATCACACAATTTTCAAAGCACTGTGCAAGCAAGGACAAATTTATTAGCAGACATGGGCTCAGGTTTGAAATATCCACAGCTGACCTATCCCAAATTAAGAGGTGTTTCGATACAGCATTTTGGTTTGGGTTGATCCTTAATTATAATCCTCCCTTGGATATAAGTTTTGGGAAGCTGTTTGCCTGCAAAAGCACCCAAAGATTTGCTGTTGTAGTGGATAAGAATAAATCACAGGGATGGGCGAATCTCTCCAACCCTTCTTCTGAAGCCTGAACAGAAGTTTTTCTGAGGTTCAGCCAGGTTTGGTTTCGGACCCCATCCACTCATGTTATTAATTTATTTTATTTTCATTTTCATGTACCTCAGCACTTGTGGGTTCCAGGTGGGAACAGAAGCAGAAGAGCTAAAATTCAACGTCTCATAGATTTCAAGGCCAGAAGCGACAATTGTGATCATCTAGTCTGGCCTCCTGTAGAACTCCGGCCACAGAACTTTCCCAAAATAATTCCTGGAGTATATCTTTTAGAAAAACATCCCATTTTGATCTAAAAATTGTCAGTGATGGAGCATCCACCATGACCCTTGGTCAGTTCTTCCAGTAGTTAATTACTCTCATTGTTAAAAAATTTACACCTTATTTCCAGTCTGAATTTGTCTAGCTGCACCTTCCAGCCATTGGGTCATATTATACTTTTCTCTGCGAGATTGAAGAGTCCATTATTAAATATTTGTTCCCTATGTAGGTTCTGATAGACTGTAATCAAGTCACCCCTTAGCCTTCTCTTTGTTAAATTAAATAGATTGAGCTTCTGGAATCTGTCCAGAACTATAAGGCACGTTTTACAATCCCTTAATCATTCTCGTGCCTCTTCTCTGAACCCTCTCCAATTTATCAACATCCTTCCTGAACAGTGGACCTCAGAACCGGACTTAGTATTCCAGCAGCTGTTGCACCAGTGCCAAATACAGAGATAAAATAACCTCTCTACTTCTACTCCTGAGTCCCCTGTTTATGCATTCAAGGATTGCATTAACCCTTTTGGCTACAGCGTTTCACTGGGAGCTCATGTTCAGCTGATTATCCACTGTGACCCACACATCTTTTTCAGAGTCACTGCTTCCCAAGATAGAGTCCGCCCTCATGCAAACGTGGCCTACATTCTTTGTTGCGCGATGACATTTAGCCATGTTAAAATGCACATTGTTTGCTTGTGCCCAGTTTACCAAGAGATCCAGATCACAAGTCTATATCAGTGACCTGTCCTCTTCATTATTTACCACTCAATTTTTGTGTCAGCTGCAAACTTTACTGGTGATGAAGTATTTCTAGCTCAAATGAAAGTAGAAAGTACTAAAATCTCATGAAAAACACATCTTTTGAATTTCCAGCCCAATTTTGCAGACTCCTGAAAGTTTAGAAGGTTTGAATAATCATCCAACCTCCCTAAATTTTCAAATGTGTCCATTAAATATTATAAATTGTCTGGGGAGGAGAACATCTCTGACTATGTGTTTGTACAACGTCTAGCTGATGAGGGTTTCTAAATGCTACTGGAACACAAACCATAAATAGTAATAAGGGCTTGATTGTGAATCCCTTACTCCCACTGGGAAGCAGTTACTCTCACAAGTAGTCTCATTGACTTTGATAGGATCATTTGTGTGAGTAACTATTCACCAGTGTGAGTCAGTGTTCACAGTCTTCCTCGAAAGCTGTTTAAATAAGTGCTGCATTAACAGAAGAAGAGGGGACTGAAATTTCTACTGTAATGCACAGGTTTAGCGGTAGGCAGTGCAGCTACAGCTGATCAAACAATGGAATTTCCATCCCAGGGGAAAGTCCATATGTCAACATTTGTTTACATCCCAAATGAGAATAAAAACTCAAAATATCAAAACTTTCTGTCGAACAAAAAATTGCATAAAAATTCGATTTGGAAATCTTGAAAGATTTAATTTCAGGTTAACATTAATCTGTGTCTGCCTGACCTGCTGCGAGTTGTAATTTTAGTATCTCAAGTCACCATTCTCCTGTATGGGCTGGGCTCCTAGGCCAGACTACATTTCCTACGTGTGTCATGGGAGATGTAGTCTAGCTAGGGAGGTCCAGCCTATGGGGAAGATTGGGGGCATGAGGCACCAGAACTATCATTCCCAAGGCAGCTCAGATGACTGCAGAGATCAATGTTGAACTGAGCCAAAACAAAACACCTTGTTTTGGTTTTCAAAATTTCAGCAAAATTGACGTTTTCTAATGACAACCATATTTTCTATCAAAAAACATTTAGATAGAAAATTACCAACCAGATCTAACCACAGCACATGCTGCTGCATTTAAGCAGCCTCATTGATACAATACATGTCCTTCGATTTGGCAAATACGTTAGGGTTGTATATTCAATTGCTGTATATAATTACCAAGATTTCTTCTTACCTGGTATAATACTTAGTTTCATAGGTGAACTTGTGACCTTATCTTGAATGCGGTTAACAAAGGTACAATTTACCACGACATCTGACATTGAGCTGCAGCTTTCTGTGTAATTGTAATTGTATGTGTAGCACACTTGGTTTCCTTGTGTGTTTTTCACTGCAAAGAAAGATTTTAGGTGTGTTAATGTAATCATGGGTGGCAAGTATCGAAGGCCAGTGGAGGCTAAGCCTCCCCCCCCACGCTCCACCCCGAGACCCTGCCCTCATTCCCCCCTCTCCCCTGATGCTGGCGGGGACTCAGCTCCAGCTGGTGGCCTGGAGCTCGGGGATTGGGCTGGTGGCCAAGGGCTGCAGTGGCCAGGGCCAGCCCAGGGGTTGGGCCAGCTGGGGTTCCTCTAGCTGGCCCTGGCATGTGGGGCTTTGGGCAGAAAGGGCAGGGCCTGGAGACTAGCCTCCCTGAAGGGGGGGCGGGTTCACCCACCGCCCGTGAATGCAATAGTTTGGTTCTGTAGCTAGAGTAGAACAGGAAGTGCTTGTGAAAATCTCCTTTCTCAGCCTCTTAAAAGAACAGCTCTCTGAGCCCTTCTAGGGATAGTCTCCTACTGTTCAAGCTTATGATCTTCTGCTGCTTATGCTCATTCCTTGCTACCTTCTTATGTTGTCTCTTCTGTCTACAGACATATAGTGTAAGCATCCTTCTGGCCTTCCACTATGAGAGCAACTTTCCCCCAAAGTCCTTTATGGTGCAGCAACAGTGGCGGGGGTAGCCACTTTAGTGCACCTCTTTCATTTCTGCTCTCCGTGCTTCTACTGAAGCCTTTCCGTTTAGGTTAGGATTTTCTAACTCTTCATCTGGTAACTCCCAGGTTCTGCACTGTCCTCAGTTTATCTTTCAGTCATCCCAAGGGTCTTCAACAGTAACCTCTCCTGTGTTGTTCTCTGCATCCTACTCACAAGCCTAATGATCCCCCCATCTCCTACTGCTTTACACTCCCTGCCAGAAACCTCAGGCGAGCACACTGTATCTATTAGTCTTCTTCTAGCCAAGGAAGGTTAGATGCAATTCCCCTCAGAGCCTATCCACAGTGATGTTAAATTAATCTAAATGTCTGTCTCCAATAACCGATTAGCTGAATTGCTGAGGGTCTGTGTAATTTCTGGAGAAATTTTTAGTCAAATTAATTAAACCTTTGACTTTATTACATTTCTGTTCTTGCTTATTTTAGCTACAAGCAGAGCACAAATTCATGGCAACTGCTGACTGATGCAACCAGAATGCACTGTATCTGCATAAGTAGATGGTTATTCCTCTCTCTTTTCTAATCTCATGATATTTGTTAATTTTTTGAGCCACTCGGGAACTTCGACAAGGTGCTAAATAATTGGTAGAATTCAAAGACCTAGAACCACAGACATTTACACTGGAAAAGTCCTTTTGTCCATATCCCTGGTGAATATGGGATAGTTCCTTACATTGTATTCTTGAAAGTTTTGTCCCTTTTGGTTTGAAATTACTCAAGCTGTGGAGTTTTCACCACTTGCTTTGAGAGGCTGTTCCATGGTCTAGTAGACATCACTAACAGGAAATGTTTCCTCTTACTCATCTTAAATATGCTTTTGCTTAGTTTCATGGCTATTACCCCTACACACTTGAGCCACCCTTAACGACGTCTCTTTCCTTGGTATTTACATATTTTAAATGCTTGGGGATGGCTATCATATCAACCTGAATCATGGCTATGCATCAGTTACATGGACCCACATGAAAAATATGATCCTAAATTTCGAATATAAAATTAAATGAATGGCTAGAAAATGTTGGCAAACTGACCAAACCTGATATGAAAGTCACTGGTAGAAAGTAAAGACAGATTCCCAGAGAGTACCTGTAGGACAGGGGTCGGCACATCCCTGCAGCCTGCCGCTTCCCGCAGCTCCCATTGGCTGGGAACGGCAAACCGCGGCCACTGGGAGCTGTGGCCGGGGCCGTGCCTGCGGACAGTCAATGTAAACAAAATGTCTCGCGGCCCACCAGCGGATTACCCTGATGGGCCACATGCCGAAGGTTGCCGACCCCTACTGTAGGACTTTAACGTAACCACATTTTGGATCTGATCCTACACTCATGGAAGTAAATGACAAAACTTCCATTAACTCCAATGGGATCAGGGTCAGACCTTTTAAGACTAAATTATGAGAGTGCGCTACCTGCACTACGGCATGAACAGAGAGATCTTGGGTTCAAAATGGTGACAATCCCAAATTAGACATGATGTATTGATTAAGGGCAACAAAGCACAAGGATAGGAAGAGCCTGGATTACAGTAATGAGACTGCACATTTTAAAAAAATACTTATAATTATTTGCTTACTAATTGTGGGCATCATAGAAGCAATGAATTTTATGGGGGGATGTCCACAATTATCCACACATTCAATACTATTTTCAGAGTAAAGTATCGACTTCCTTACCACCCTTAAATTCCTTTTGTTGAACTGTGAATGTAACGTCATAGTTTTCCATTCCATTTATGCAGCACTTTAGGACCTGAGGTACATTGCATTGTATAAATCCTTGCATGGGATCCAGTACAATATTCTGTTTCAGAGGCAGAGGCACAATCTCAACTGTTGTACTAGCAGAACTTGGCAAAGACTTCTGAGAGAATGTGCAAGTATAGGTGCCTGAAAGCAATGAAACAAAACCAGGCCTCAGTTGAAAGCCACAGAATGCAGACTGTGATGAACTGGTAAAATTCCTGTATTACATTTTTATGAATATGGTGTATGTCTCTGTGTGGTTGTTTATGGAGGCTTACTTGCTATGGAGATAGATCAAAAGGGATTGCTAAAGACAATGAGCAGGAAAGGTAAAACAACGACCCAGATCAGGAGCATCCCTGCAAGCACTCAAGCACAACAGCCAGGTTAGTAGATGCCTACTGGATTGTGCACTGCACAAAACACAGCTGGAGAAGGAGCTGGTGGTGCTCCCTTTATATGCAATAGTTGGAGTACTCACGAAGGATGCAAAAGACAGATTCAAATCCCCACTCTGCCTGCTTTGGAGGAGGGACTTCGACCCACGTCTCTTACCTCTAGGCTGAGCGTCCTAACCTCTGGGGTTGGGTTCTCTCCATCTCTCTTGTTGAAGCTGTTCCACTCTGTATGAAATACTTAAATATTAATTGCGCCGGAGAGACCATGAGACTGACTCTATAGCCTGCTGGTTAAAGCATCCACCAGGGAGATGCAAATTCCAACCCCTGTTCTATTGACTTCAATGGGACCACGTGTGTGATGAAAGCTGTGCATGTGTTTAAGTGTCTTGCTGGATGGAGGCTTAGGTGAAGTTCTGATTTTTCAAATGATTGGTAATGTCACCTACCTTGTCATTCTGACCGAAACACACTGTGATGTGACGCCTTCACTTACCATTCCAGGCCTGAGTGGCAGACTTCACTGTGAGCATGGACCTGGCTTTGCTTGGGGATTCCAGGTTACAGCTGTATAGCCGAGAGTCTATCATTTGAGACTGGATTTCCCAGGTGACATTATCGCAATTGCTCACATCGCTGGTGCATGTTAGATTAAAACTGTGTCCCTCAGAAACTTGAGCTTTTGCGCTTGAAAATATTTTTACATTTGCTGAAAAATATAAGATAAATGACACATTATTGTTATTTGTCATTTGCATGTGGCACAATAGGTAGGCAGGGTGCCATGTGGAGAGAACGGAGACACAGTCCCTGCCCAAGGCACTTACACTCAGCTATGTGCAATCAGATTCTATCAGCATTCGGCAAAGGCTCCTTACCTATTTGTAGATATGTCACGCTGATGGCTTTACTTCGGATGGCGCCATTCCCCGTACTCAGCTCACACGTGTACGTTATCTCACTATTATACTGGTTTGGGCACTGACGCTGATTGGCTTGGAGAGTGTACTCAGTACAGTTTGGAGTGAAACTGGTGGTTCCTGTATTGAAATAAACAATCCCAGAGCTGTCACTGCTGTCTGTCTATCTCAACCACAAGTAAAGCCTGTAGATACAGGACTTGTCCTAGCTATGCAAACCCTAGGTGTAGGCACAAGTTTTGACAGTGAGACATTTTAAACTCACCCATCCTGAAGTCCACACTCAGCTTTTACTTGGGCAAAACTCACAGTGGCCTAGGAAGGACTTCAGGATTGGGCCAAAGTACACTTTGCCAATTACCTAAGACACCCATTGGCCTAGTTCTACAATCCTTACTCCTGTTGAGCAGCACATACTCCCATGAGTAGCCCCACTGAGTCCAATAGTACTGTTTGGGTGAGTGAGGACAAGTCACCGTGAGTAATGGTTTCAGATTCCGGCCTGAGAGAAGTATTTGGAGTCAGATAATCTCAGTAGTGGCAGATTCAAGGCGTTTCTTAGAGTAAGCAGTGGAAAGCACAAAGAGATACTGTCAATATTAAACTCATCTATTTATCTTAGGGGAAAATAACATTTTTAAGGGCTACCCTGTAACTGTATTTTGGGTGTCAAGAGAGGAGGGTTAGACATAATTCATAGATTCATAGATTCTAGGACTGGAAGGGACCTTGAGAGGTCATCGAGTCCAGTCCCCTGCCCGCATGGCAGGACCAAATACTGTTATTTGTTGTTAATGGAGATGTGGTCGCCCCATCTCAAAAAAAAAAAAATATTGGACTTGGAAAAGGTTCCGAAAAGGGCAACAAAAATGATTAGAGGTATGGAGCATCTGCCATATGAGGAGAGATTAATAAGACTGGGACTTTTCAGCTTGGAAAAAAGACGACTAAGGGAGGTCTATAAAATCATGACTGGCATGGAGAAAGTAAATAAGGAAGTGTTATTTACTCAGTGGCGTAGCTAGGGGAGGAGCAGGGGGAGCGGCTGCTCCCCCTGTGCACATTCCCCAAAAGTGGCGCCTTTTTAACTCACTCACAAAAAAATGTGCCACCCTCTGTGGCGTGGTCTTTGGTGGCGGGACCTTCACTCGCTCCGAGGGGCTTCGGCGGCATTTCGGTGGCGGGTCCTTCAGTGCTGCCAAAGACACCCAGAGCTAGTGAAGGGCCCGCCGCCGAAGACCCGGAGCGCCCCCTGTCAGTAAAAGCGCCGCCGGGTGAGTAAAAGCGCCACAGCAGGTGGCACCTTTTTAACTCGCTCACAAAAAAAGGTGCCACCCACTGTGGCGCTTTTACTCACCCGGCACGCTTTTACTGACGGGGCGGCGCTCCGGGTCTTCGGCGGCGGGACCTTCACTCGCTTCGGGTGTCTTCGGCAGCACTGAAGGACCTGCCGCCGAAATGCCGTCGAAGCCCCGCGGAGCGAGTGAAGGTCCCGCCGCAGAGGTGCTGCCGAAGACCCGGGTGAGTACAAGCACCACAGCGTGTGGCGCTTTTTTTTCTGATCACTCCCTCTGTTCCCGCCACCTGGCTATGCCACTGTATTTACTCCTTCTCATAACACAAGAACTAGGGGTCACCAAATGAAATTAACAGGCAGCAGGTTTAAAAAAAAAACAAAAGGAAGTATTTTTTCACACAATGCATAGTCAACCTGTGGAACTCCTTGCCAGAGGATGTTGTGAAGGCCAAGACTATAACAGGGTTCAAAAAAAAGAACTAGATAAATTCATGGAGGACAGGTCCATCAATGGCTATTAGCCAGGATGGGCAGGGATGGTGTCCCTAGCCTCTGTTTGCCAGAAGCTGGGAATGGGTGACGGGATGGATCACTTGATGATTACCTGTTCTGTTCATTCCCTCTGGGGCACCTGGCATTGGCCACGGTCGGAAGACAGGATACTGGGTTAGATGGACCTTTGGTCTGACCCAGTTTGGATGTTCTTATGTTCTTATGTACCTTTGTGCATTTACAGTTACTCAGTTTGCAGTCATACTTCATATTGAAGTTCCATTTATATACAGTTAATAAAAGGCTAGTAAATGATTAATAGGTGTTTTAATAAATGGTTACTCCTTTGCTATAGGTTTTTATAGAGTCCAAAAGGGCAACTGGTTGCTTAAGACTTACAACCATCTATAACACCATCTACTGATGTGCTTATAAAAACTCTACCATGTTCTGCTGATGTCTGTAGCATGCTTATGCTATATACGTCTATGCATTATTTATAAATCCATTCAAAATGGAACTTTAATATCAAGCGTGAATCATTTTGCACGGGACAGTTCACACTTGCATGTGGGGTTTTGGCCCCAATCTTTAGCTGTGCTGCAGCTGTTTTGTACCACACACTTTGCTTACCAAAGGTGAGTACATGGCCCATGGAAGGTACTCTCAGTATAAGGGTGACCCTGAAGTTGTGGACAACCAGTATAGGGACTTATACACCTCATACCCAGCTTGCTGTCAACAAAGCAGGAAAAGGGGGAGATGCACTTTCTGAAAGATGACTAGATATCAGCATGCTGTGCTGATCCTGGGATAGGTTTCCAGCCCTCTGTGGCAGAAGTTAGAGCAGCCCTCACTTGGCTCTAACAGTGCATGGCAATGGCTACAGAAGCACTAAGACAATGCTAGTGGGAACTTTATCTTGGCTTGACACAGCACCTGCTGACTTGTGGTCTAAGCATTTGGGAAGTCCCCAAGGATCATAGAATATCAGGGTTGGAAGGGACCTCAGGAGGTCATCTAGTCCAACCCCCTGCTCAAAGCAAGACTAATCCCCAACATTCCCCCCCCCCGATCCCTAAATGGCCCCCTCAAGGATTGAGCTCACAACCCTGGGTTTAGCAGGCCAATGCTCAAACCACTGAGCTATCCCTCCCCCCAGGATCTAGCCCTTTTGAGCGTGAAACCACTCCATGTGCCTCTTTTTAGCTGCAAACTGGGAGGAGAGATTTAGAAAAAACTGGCCTGTAGTATGTGAGACTGCATATTTTCTCTCTTACCCACAATATTAATTGCTTTATTTGGTCTCCAGTTAGTAGTAAAGGATTGTATATTTCCATCAATGCAGCAGCTCAGCGATACTTTGGTACCGTCACATATAACCTCAGTGTCTCCTGATTGCACAATGTTTATTGGAGCTACTGTTATATTGCGTGTTGCTTTAAATACCAATGTGGAGTTCACACTGCTGTTTACGAAAACGCAAGTATAAGGACCTGGAAAGGAAATACAATATTACTGCTGAGAACTCATTCTGCCTTAATCCCCTAAAGCAATGAAAAATAAATTCAGCTAGTCACCCCCTAGCCCAGTAATAGCTTAATCCCTTTAACCCCTTTTTTGCTGGCCACTGGCACAAAACCTATCTGGTAATGATATGTGTCATGGTTCCACTGCTGGTGGTATGTGTCACAGGCCCATTGGAACAATGGCTCTTTAAGGAGAACAATGAAGTACTGCATGTGCCTCTTATACCATGTACCTAATACCAGTGGTCCCAAGCCTGTCCCTCTGCCTCTTTTCTCTATCACTGGCAATTTCACTCCTCGCTGTGTCCTTCAAGTGTGCTGCCGTGGCATCATATCTTACTCCTTTCTCTCCTTCCCCCCAATAAATAGTGCTGGATTTTCCTCACCTGCTTCTCCAAAATCTACCTGCTCCCTACTATTCCCACTGCCAAGCCCTTTGTATCAGCCCAACACACCTCTTGCCTTGACCACTGACACCTCATCTTCTCTGAACTCCCACCAGCCAAACTACTGCTGCAAAAATCATCTACATTGCCTGTATCTCTAATCAGGTCCAGCCCCTCCCTTCTCTCAGATATAAAGTGCTGTGTAATAATACTTGGCTGTTTTCATCTATAGTTCTCAAAGCACTTTGCAAAGGAAGTAAGTATCATCACCCCCCTTTTACAGATGATGTGAAGTAGCCTGACCAAGGTCACATAGTAGATCAGTGTCAGAGCCGGGAATAGAACTCATGGTTCTCAATTCCCAGTCCAGTCCATGTTACCTGGCTCCTTAATACTAAGCTCTAATATATCACCTCTTTTCAAAGGGCTCTCCAAACATTAATAATTTACTTTGCTATGGAACTCTGTTACTTTTTATTATAATACAATAAATGCAGTATGCTGGCATCACCATTCAGAAGCTGATTCATTAAAGAAAGTCAGAGGAAGATGATGAGGGGAAAGGTGCATTTGCCCTTCTGTTTTAAATAAATAGAATAATTGCATTCTTCTTTGTTCCTTTGCCAATTACAAACAATACACTTGCATATACAGACACAATCGTACCGGTATCATCCTGTGTAACATTGGTAATTTTCAGAACTGACGTTGTAGATATTGAATGCCGGGTGCTATTCAAGATTACGTGTCCAGAATGATACCAGATCCCGTTCCCTGTATCCAACCGTATCTCACACTTCATTATTACTGTATCCCCCTGGAAAATGTCCTCAGGGGACACAGAGAAGTGGGTTTGATCTGGAGAGGCAAAGAGAAACCTGTAGTATTAATTATTTATTTTATTACTTCAGCTGACATTTACCTGGCGCCTCCCATCTCAAAGGAATCCTAAGCATTTCACAAATTATACACATTCAGTGTCAATGATATGCAGCCACCTCTGGGGTGCAGGGCATCAGCCCAAGATTCATGATAAAATCATGAGTGTTTGCAAGATTGCACCATGATCTGAATGGGGCCACTTGGATCAAGATGGAGCTTTGCATGCTGGGAGATGTAATTAGCAGGACACACTTTCCTATTAAAAATAACAGCTACAGTAAGCCCCAAAGTATCGTGATTGGTCCATGAGTCACATTTTAGCCAGCCCCACTGATGTGTAAAGATCACACTCTCTCCTGATTAAATTTCATACTATATGCTACTAAGCACAACTTACCTTCAGGCTGAAGCTGACAATAGGGTCCTTGAGAAGGCACCTGTGTGATACAGTCACAGATCTCCTCTTGTGTTGGGTTAGTACTAGGACAGATTGAGTTGGCACTACACATTGCAGCTGGCCATTTGTACCCACTTTCACAAAAACAATGGGTCTCATTATTACTGGTGAGACTGCATACTAGTATAAAATAGAAAGTCTGTGTTAATGATGCGTTATTCATAATATTTTGCACAGCATGTTTCCCTTAAGTATATTTACCCTACTGGATGTGTATGCAAAAGTTTATACAATATGCTGTGCATCTTAGACGTTCACCAGCAAGATATAAGCCTGAGTATCTGATGCCCTGAGAATCCTGTTATATGAATCATGAGCAGCTAAATAAGAGGTGGTGATACTCTCATTAGGGGCTAAGTTTGATTCATTACTCTAAGGGCTTGTCTATACTACCCACCGGATAGGCGGGCAGTGATCGATCCAGCGGGGGTCAACTTATCGTGTCTAGTCTAGATGTGATAAGTCAACCACCGAGCACTCTCCGATACTCCACCGGAGCGAGGGGCGCAGGCGGAATCGATGGGAGAGCATCAGCTGTTGGCTCACCCCGGTGAGTAGATCTAAGTACGTCGACTTATTCACGTAGCTGAAGTTGCGTAACTTAGATCGATCCCCCCCAGTGTAGATCAGGCCTAAGAGGTTTTTTTTAAATATACCGCATGGACTAAAAATTACCCTGTTCCAAACTCTTGGATCTGTTGTGTTCAGTCTTGGATCAGTGTGTTGAAATAGCCCTGCTGATCTATGAGAGCAATGATAGTTTTATGGTCAGATATTTCACAAACTACCTGGGCTAAAAACAAACACCATATATCATCTAAACTGGTTTCAATAACGTTTTGTAGTGTTTGTTTCTAGTGAGATATTGAACCATAAAATGATACCATTCTGATCGCTATCTTGAATGCAAGGGCATTTCAAAGGGCACTATCAGAAAAATGCTGTAGACAAATATACTTCATATCATCCAAAATCTTAAGTCCTAGTTTTCAAACAGCATAAACCCATTTTCTTACTGTTTATGAGACTAAGGGTAGGTCTACAGTTACCCGTTAGTTCGGCGGCAAGCAAATCGAACTTCTGGGTTCGACTTATCGCGTCTTGTCTGGATGCGATAAGTCGAACCTGGAAGTGCTCGCCGTCGACTGCAGTACTCCAGCTCAGCAAGAGGAGTACGCGAAGTCGACGGGGGAGCCTGCCTGCCGCGTCTGGACTGAGGTAAGTTTGAACTAAGGTACTTCGAACTTCAGCTACGTTATTCACGTAGCTGAACTTGCGTACCTTAGTTCGAATTTGGGGGTTAGTGTAGACCTGCCCTATGTCAAAGTTAACTTTCAGAGACATAGCATGAAGTATTGACAAAATGTTTTGAATAAACTAGCTCACGGACAAGAAACACTTGGAAAGATGAACACACGTGTTTAGAACCAGTACACACAGCCTTCCACTGCTCCTGGATCAGAGATTTAAAAAAAAAAAAAATCAGGTCCTGAACTATTGTAAATACATGTGGTGTTTATATTTTGTTTCATATTTTAACTATTCAAAACACTATAGAGCTGCAATTTTGTATAACAACAAGTGGGGAAAATAAAGGTTCTTCAATTCTTTGCTCTTTAATAATGTCCTTTGGAATTACATCGGAAAGAAAATTAGCCCTTGAAATATGTGTCCACATGCTAGGGACAAAGCATAGCCTCTTAGAGTAATTTACATTCCAAATGTCGTCAGTGGGAAGTAAACATTTTGAAAATCAGCACTGCAGCTTCCTGAAACATAATAGTAAATCAGACTGCTATTATTACTGTGGTATTAAAGCCATAGCAGAACGTTAGTACAGGGTTTCTCAGGCTCCCTCCCTTCCTCTGGCACAGAGAAGAATTCAGGCCTCTCCTAATGTCAGTGTTTTGTAAGAAGGAGAGGTGTGGAATGCAAATACCAGAAAGTGCTGTTATCTATGATTTTTTCTGTCTTGCTGGATCTTTCCCACTCAGTAGGTAACAGAGACAGCTCTGGATTTGTAACCCAGGCCTGCTTGGTGTGGTGCTCTGTCCCCCTCTAGTGGCACCTAGCTCAGCTAGAAATTGATGAGTCTGCTACACCCTTAGCTAAGAGCCATGTGGCTTTTAGTTCATGCAGTAGAGGCTCATATACTAAGCTTCAGAGGTCTCAGGTTCAGTCCTGCCTGCCGACAAGCAGGATCTGTCGGCATTACAAGTTCATTGATCGCTATGTGAAAATGTGAAGGCAATCAAATTATTGACAAGCCATTGCATCGTGCAGAACATCAGAAGAGCGACCTACTCACCTGTAGTAACACTGAGGCTTGAAATGTTCATTACTGCATCTGAGGTGTTTACTATGACTGGAAAACTAAGATTCTTGAAATAATCTTTGATGGCTTCCAAGAGAGATGGATCTGTACAACTGATCTCAATGTCAATCTTGTATTCCATAGGGGAAAGGCCAAATGTAGCTACTGAAAAGAAAAAGGATGGATGTGTTAGAGTGTATTATAATAACTGAAGACTTCCAGACTAGCGTCTGTGCTATCTATAGCTATTTAACAAGAGCTAATGAGAGGTTTTACTGAGGCAAATAACTGTAATATTGGCCCTTCTTACTCAGGAGGTGAGAGTAACAGGAAACCCACTTCAGTGGTTTGAAATCTGTCAGAGTGAAGGGAGTTAAAGCTGTCTCTCATTTCTTCTCCGCTTTGACCCAACAATTGTATCCATCCCAAGTGAATATCCATTGGCCCAGATCTGTTAAGGGGTTCGTTCTTTCTCTCAAACCATTTACTTGACTTATATAGTTGTGTAAGCAGGGTCTGTAGGAGCACTCCCCCGACAGCTAGTGACACACTGGGGGAAAAGACTTCAAGAGCAGACCGCGTTTGCATAGACACGCCTAGGTGCACAGCACGATGGTGCTGCTTTGCCAAAATGATCAATTTTGGCTGTTTTGCGGTTACAAATCACTCTAGTATCATATCACTCATGGTGTCGGACGCCATCAGGTGGTCAAGAGACATCTATTTAGAACACATCACCAGACATCAGCAATACCAGGAGAGAGGAGCTGCAGTGCTACTGAGAAGTGACGTTGGGAAAGTAACTGAGATACTTCTCTGATGCATTGTATTTACTGAGGGACAACCTATCCTAAATTCTCAGTTATTGAGGGACAATCTACACGCATTGCTAGATTTGCTTTCCATAAGTTACTCTTAGTATAACCTTTTATGGATGATGTACCCGAATATTTGGATGCTAATATCTAAACTGTATCGTTAAATTTATTGACCTAAATTTGGGATATTGCAGATTATGTACTATATGTATTTTATGACTTTTAAACCAAACCTTGCACTTTTTGACAATTTAAGCATTACATCCAGATGTACAGTCTCTTTTCCCGTAATCTGTGTATTTGATCATTTTAACATTAGCTTTAATAAAAAAATTTAAATTGGAATGCAGGGCTAATGAAATGTTGTTATCCTTATTGTATAAGTAAAGGGCTGCAGAACTGTACTTAGCATGCGCTGACAGAGGGAGTCGCCCTAAACTGAACTGAACTGTCTAAGCAGGAGGGTTAGGGGTGCCAAATCCCAGTGACAAAATGAGAGCAGATAGGGACAGGTGATTCTATCTGGTTGGGCAATGGCTGCCTAAGGAGGTCTAGACACCAATGGACCTGCCTCTCTTCAATATTTAATGACAGAGCTGATTAAGCTCAGTGGAGAGTCCTTCTTCCTGGGTCTTATTCCTAGAGCTGATGTCACGTCTGAGCCGGAAGCTAAGCCTTACACTCTGAGTGGGGACAATGAAAGACAACATAGAGACTGCAGTGGCTGTGAGGCTCCCCTCTATCCGCTGCAATCTCTAAGAGCTGGGTTAAGTGATGGAACCTCAGAACCTGATGTTGCAGGAGTAGCCAGCGGCAATGGCTGGGGACAGCAGAGAAACATCAGAGGGAGACAGTGGCCAGCAGTGGCAGCAGAGACACAGTAGCCAGTGGTGGCACTGAAGCAGCAGCAACAGAGAAGCATTGGCAGAGAGACAGTGGCAGCTGAGGGTGGGGAGGCGAGAAGCCCAGGTGACTGCCCTCCACCCACTCCCAGCGGGGACCCGAGAGCCGGGGGGCAGCTGGGCTCCGGGCAAGGAACTACCTGGAGAGCTCTCAGCCCCCCACACTGCCTCTCTTCAGTTGGTGGATGCGCTCCTGATGTGGACACGCCCACCAACACGAGGAGGGGAATGTGGATATCAATTAATTAGTGCGGTGGCTGTAAGTCAACCTAACATAAGTTGACTTAGGGCTGTAGCGTAGACATGCCCTTAGTGTGCAGTGGAGATATACACCGAGTGACCAAGGATAGAAAAGGGAGGTGGCATAAGCCATTCCTCGGGGGAGGAGCTACATAGTAAAATGTGTTCAGACACTTTCATCTGTGATTGGCCACAGGTTTGCACCACAGTGATTCACATGCTTGATCATTGCCACTCGTTATGTCTAGGAATGACCCAAGAGACCTGTTCCCCTGCTACCTAAAGGAAACCTGCTGTAATGCCAGTGTTGACATACCCTGTCGCCTCTGCCTGTGCAGCTCTGTTGGGACGTTCTCTTCTGTTCCATTTTCGCTGTCAGGCTGAAAAAAGAAAGCAGTTGTATAAGCTTTATGTTATTTTATTTATTATACTTGAGCTGGTGAAAACTGAGAGGACAATGGAACTCTGCCAGTTTGCACCAGCTAAGAGTTTGGTCCATCGTCTTTTCTACATGCTTACACAGGTCAAAAGCAGCCAGTGATTTCATGCTAATGCACTTACATCTCCTTATTTTCTTATTATTATTATTGATTACTTGTACACTCCCCGTAAGTGTGTCCCAGGGTGAAATTCACTCCTCCGCAGAGGCCCAGCACAAAACCTCTAAGACGCTTGAGTCCAAATGAACCCTACATACTCTATAGAATAGATACATGGAAATTATTCCTGTTTCAAAGAGTTCACTATCTAATTTTAAATGTGACATGACCAATGACAGGGGAGATGGGCAAGGAGTGACAAGGGTTAGAGTAATAAGATCATGTTGTTACTCACTATGTGATTATATTGAAGGTTCCATTAATTTTACTCTCATGATAATTTAACCCATTTTTTGTAGGTAAAGCTTAGATCATTTTTGGTCATCATGATTTCTGATAGCAAAATAATACTGTGTATGAAAAGGTCAATGTGGGTAGGCTTGCTCCCGCTCTCATTAAAATTGATGGCAAAACTCATTGGCCTCACTACAAGGAGGATTGGACTCATAATTATATGTGCCCTATCGATGGAAATGTTTATTAAAGGGATATTGCAACTATGAGCAACCATGCAAGAGTTGTTGTTTTGTAACCTGAGAGCCTCCAGCCTGTCAGACAATGAGAGACAACCAACACACAGAATCCCACCTCGTTTTTATTACAGATCAGCTCAAACCAGCTCCAGTCCATCACCTGGAAGCTCTGTGAAAGCAGAACACCAGGGAAGGCTGTGGATGAAAGATGTCAACCTAAAGATACAGAACTTCAAAATAAGCCACACCACTTATCTATCTAAGGTTCTTCTATGGCCCTGATATCTGAGCACCGCCCAATCTTTAATGGATTTCTCCTCACAACAGCCCATAAGAGAGCAGCATTTTACCAGTGGGGAGTGGAAGCACAGAGACACTAAGTGACTTAAACAAGGTCACACTGGAAGCCTCTGGTAGAGTAGGGAATTGAATACAGCTTTTCCCAAGTCCCAGGCTAGTGTCCTAACCACTGCACCATCCTATCTCTTGCTCCATGCCACTTCAACATTTGGCCAAGAGCGTTTGACACACATAGTCATTTGTCTAAGCTGATAGGGGAGCATGTGGATCTAGTGAGAAGACACTGCCTGTGAGGTCCTCCCACCTGAGTCTCCCAAAGGCTGTGGATTTGGGCTAAGACTGAACCTGCTGTAGGACCTCTGAGGCCTGGTCTACACTACAGAGTTAGGTTCGACATAAGGCAGCCTACATTGACCTGATAATGTCAGGGTCTACACTACAAGGTCCCTCTTGCCGTCGTAACTCTCCTGCTATGTTGACTGAAGGCTGGTCTACATTACGCAGTTAGGTCGACATAAGGAACCAAGCTGTGAAATTGCCGATGCTGCCTTGCTTCCCGGAGAGAAGGTGGGGAGGCGGGGGGAGCCAGAGAAGCTGGACCACACTTCCTGGGGGCGAGACGCTCAGAGCGGCTTTCCCCGCTCCCAGCGGGGAATGTGAGGGGGGGGCAGTCCACTGGGAGCCTGTGGGGCAGCGGGGCTGACAACAGAGCTGAGAGACCAGCCTCTCAGCTCCCCACATTGGCCCTCTTAGGACGGCGGAAGCGCCCCTGAAGACGATGCGTAGCACTGACCCAAGGAGGGCAGTGTGGACATGCACCACTGCAGTAATTACTGCCATGGCTGTAAATCAACCTAATATAGGTCAGCTTAGGTTTCTAGTGTAGACATACCCTTAATAACTACACCTCTGTGAGAGGCATGGCGTTTATGTCGACGTAGTTAGGTCGATGCAGTGGCAGAGTAGACACTGTGTTGCTTGCGTCGACTTAAGTGGACTCCACGAGGCGTCCCACAATGACCCATTGTGACTGCTCTGGTTGCCATTTTCAACTCCTCTGCCCAGCAGCCAGGTACACAGGAACAAGCCCCTCCCTCCTTACAGGACTGCTAATTTTTTAATTTTCATTTCCTGTTTGGTTGGTGTGGAGAGCTCACCTAGCAACTGGCCAACTGAGCATGCCAGGTCCATGCTCCAAATGCGCTCTAGCCTAGAGTACACAGGAGGTGGTGGATCGCCCGGGTCTGTGGGGAGAAGAGCCTGAGCAGGCACAGCTCTGATCTAGCTGTAGAAATGTGGACATTTACAAGCAGATCTCTTGGGTCACGGGAAGAGAGGGCTACAAGAAGGACCCGCAGCAGTGCCGAGTGAAAGCCAAGGAGCTGTCAGGCCAGAGGAGACCAACACTGAGCACCCAGAAGCTACAACTCATCAGCATGCAACATCTCCAGTGCGAGCCCCCTCCCGCCGCCTACTCATGCCGCTGGGGGGACAGAGTCTCATCTGGCTCTGGCAAGGGAGTGGGGCCTAGAGAATGGGGGTGTCTGGGAGTTTGGACTCCTGGGTTCTCTCCCTAGCTCCAGGAGGGGAGTGGGGTGTAGAGGTTTGGGGGCGGTATATCATTCAGAGATCATAAAAACAGGTGCATTTGCAAGGTTACATTACTCCACTCACATCATGGTTCAGACCAGGGTACCAAAAATACACTGGCAGACACAACACAGGAAAGCAACATACATTGCTGGGGGGTCATTATTAAAACAGTCTTTCAAAGCCTCCCTGAGCCGTATTGCTCCCTGTCAAGTTCTTCTTATAGCCCTGGTATCTGGCTGCTCAAAATCAACAGACAGCTGATCCACTTCCATCCTACATGCGGCGGAAAATTCTCTCCCTTTGTTTCACAGATATTATGAAGCACGCAGCAGGCAGCTATAACCATGGGAATTTTTTTTTCACTGCAGTCTAACCTAGTGAGTAGACTGCTCCAGCGCCCCTTCAAACGGCCAACGGCACATCAACCATCATTCTGCACCTGCTGAACTGATTGTTGAAGTGCTTCTTGCTGCTGTGCCGGTGTCCAGTGTCCAGCTTCATGAGCCACGGGAGTCAGGGATAGGCTGGATCTCCCAGGATCACTGTGGGCATTTCAACATTTCTAGTGGTGATTTCTGTGGTCCAGAAAGAAAGTGTCTGCTTGCAGATTTCTGAACAGGACTGTGTTTTTAAAGATACATGCATCATGCACCTTCCCAGCCCATTCCATGTTGATGTCGGTAAAAACATCCCCAGTGATCCACCAATGCTTGCAACACCATAGAAAAGTATCCCTTTCTGTTTATGTATTCTGTGGCAAGGTGGTATGGTGCCAAGATAGGGATATGCATGCCATCTATTGCCCCACCACAGTTAAGGAACCCCCATTGCAGCAAAACCATCCAGTACCTCCTGCACATTGCTCAGAGTCAGAGTCGTTCTTAGAATCATAGAATGATTGCAGAAGGCAATCTTAGCAGAAGGCAATCAATGGCCCTGCAGACTTGGATCACAGCAACCCCCCAGGTGGATTTCCCAACTCCAGATTGATTCACGACTCAACGGTAGCAGTCTGGGGTTGCCAGCTTCCACACAGTGATCGCCACTCACTTCTCCACTGTCAATGCAGCTCTCATTTTGGTGTCGCTGCGCTGCAGGGCTAAGCAGAGCACCTCACAAAATTGCTGGAAAGTGGCCTGGCACATATAAAAGTTCTGCAGCCACTGCTCATCAGCCCATGCCTGCACAACAAAGCAATCCTACCAGTCAGTGCTTATTTCTCAGGACCAGAAACGGCGCTCCACCATGTTCTTCTGCTCTGCAACTGCAAACAGCAACCAGGAATTGTTTGTTACCATGGCTTCCAGCTACTTGAAAGGAAATTGCCATATTCCATGCTCCTCTGGTGGCTCTGGAAATACTGCAGGATCAGGTGTGTTGTGTTCACCACGTTCACCACAATAGTGCAGAGCTGTGCGGGATCCATGCTTGTCTAGAGATGGCAGATGCATGGCTATACTAGGCTTTTGAAAACAAGCATGAAATACTATGGGATATAGAGAAAACTGCATCATGGGACATTCATGCCATGTTCCCAGTCACCCCTGCGAGAATGTTTTGCCCCCATGAGGCATTGCAAGCCCTTTCCATAACACCCGGTACTAGATTCTAGCAAGTTGCACCGTGGGTAGCAACTGCTCTCTGCACTGATGGAAGTGCTACTAGTGAGGACATGCTCCGCCGACACAAGGAGTGCAGTGTGGACACGCACAACTGATTTAACTACTGTGGCGGCTGTATGTTGACTTAAGTCGACTTAATTGTGTAGTGTAGACATGCCTTGAAACAGGAATGCCAGTCAAGGTCTGAGGAGCCCAGTGGGGGACAGGGAGAGGGAACTGGAGCTGAGGATATGGGCACTTAGCTGAATTTTTTTAAAACCTGGGGGTCCAGTTTCCCCCAGCCCAATAGCAGGAGTGCAGGGTTTTATTAGCTGTCTCGGGATCCCCCTCAGGTGAAGGACTGGTGGCATCCCAGTCAATTGAAAACTCTTTGCTTCAGTTTAGGTAGCAGATCAGCCACCTATTTCACAGGCCATTACTGGCATGCTTTAGACAGAGGCATGATGGCACAAGGGACACAGAGCAGCCGAGTTCATACAGGGGTCTGCCAAGTAGAGTAGAGCATGTGTTATTTTTATATCATACCCTCGAATGCACTGGCACCGTTCTTAGTGATGGGCGAAAAAAACAAGTGGCGACACAGAGGCAGGAAGTTTGCATCTTTGCCAGTTTGTGGAACTTAATTCAAACCTTTATTTACAGAGCTGGTGAATAGCTTGGCACCCCTTAAGACACCTCATCATACAAAGGAACCATATGGTGTGTGATTAGAACTGCTTCCTCCTCAGAATACATCAGTTCTGATTGTAAAGATTCCCAACGCATATTTTACTGCACAAATAGGGATGCGAGCCTTTCTCCTGGCCAAATTTCTGCTTGAACAGTTACATGATGCTTACCTAAGTCCACTTCCTCCCTCCGTTTGAAGCTGTAGAAAGAAGTCTTAAGTTCCTCTCCTAAACGATCGTGGTTTTGCTGTGCACTGTTAAACAACTGCCATGTTGCACCAAGAGGAGGCTGCAATTCAGGAATTGGTGAAGTTGGTTTGTTTGCAAAGCATTTTGGGACCCTTCTGGATTGCAGATACTATATAAATATTAGACGTGGTGTATTGAAAAGTGGGTAAAAAATGCAAGCTGTCACATTAAATCCTAAAGGGTTGCCTGGTCCTACTTGCCCCTAAGGAAAGTGTGTGATCTATGTCCTATGCAGAAAGCCAGGCTAGAGCAAGGTGAGTTGAGTTGGGCCTCTCTGATTTAGGGAGCAGGCAGCTTTGTCTCTCTCTGTTTTGAGGTTCTTGTCTTAGGGTTCTGGATTCTAAAAAGTAAAGCAGTGTTACGTCGCAACCTACCTGAAAGAGCACTTTGTGGTTTTTATCTATCTTCTTTGTGTGTATGCTGTGAACATAACCTAGGATATCAGATATTTTTGTTCAATATACGCTCTCCACCCAAAGCACTGGGGTTAAGGAACAGCATGCAAAAACAAAACAAACAGAGAGACTTTCTCCCTGTTAGTCATCAGTTGTAGGAAGTGAGGTGCTGGTAGAACCAGAGAGCTGATGCTTTTAGCTCCCGATCTTGGACAACCTATTAACTCAGTAAAGCCGCTAGTACAGACAGGGTGACAATCACTCCTCATCACACTAAGGCCAAGTAAGCAGGTTTAGTGTGGGGAAATATGTAGGGGTCAGGGGGAGAAAATTGATGCCCCAACCCAGTCCACCAACAGCTGCCTATGATAACCGCTCTATGCAAAGATTCCCAAACACTGGTTCTAGCCATTGACCCCTCCTCCATCTTGTTCCTCTCTCGGTTCCTCTCTGCTCCATTGTATTCAGTACTAGTGCAAAGTCCATCTCAGTGGTGCAAAGGGGGTGGAGAGGTCTCTCTCTCTCTCTCTCTCTCTCTCTCCTTAAACCTGCTCCAGTGAAGAACAAATCCTCTCTATAGGCACTCACACTCTGAAACACAGTGGGAATGCCAGGTTCCCATTGCACGTAGAAGATCTGGAAGTTACGGCCCGACACAAGGAGCTTCTGTGCCCTGTGTGTGGTGCTGAATCGTGCTCCATGATGAGGAGCTGCACAAGAATGTGTGCTGCAGGGTGTGTATGTGTGTGTGTGGTCTATTGCCCAAGAACCCTACAGTGGGGTCACAACAGGCCACAACCACTTCTCCCTGTGGGCTATCTTCATCTTATTATTTATTTCTAGTGCAGTTGTACATTGAGGCCGCAATGGAAATCAGGACCCCATTGTTCTAGGCCCTCTAGATACACACACAGAGCAAGAGGCAGCGTCTGCCTTAAAGAGCTTACAGCCCAAAAAAAAGGAAGTATTATGTGGTCTAATCATTAGCATACTGGACTAGGAGTTGGCAGACATGGGTTATAGTCCTTCTCCCTACACTGACCAGTTGTGGGACCTGGGGCAAGTCATTTCACTTCGCTGTTTCTCCTCCCACCCTTTGTCTTGTCTATTTAGACTGTAAGCCCTTCGGGGCGGGGGCTGCCTGCTACCACGTGTATGTCCCGCACCTAGCACACTGGGGGCCTGTAGGTGCTGCCATAATAAATATTATCCCTATTTGCCAGGTGGGAAATGAGGCACAGCGAAAAGACATTTTGCACAGGAAGACGATGGAAGAGGTGAAAATTGAACCTAGATCTGAGTCCCAGCTCTGTTTTAAACAGGAGACGCCGTTATCATAGCAGCTGACGCTTTTGTCCAGAGATTGCCCCAGCGCCTGCTTTCAGGGTACCGGGAGCCGGATTTTTGTCCACACTGTGATGTTGCAGTCTATATGGTTTTATAAAAATATGCTAATGAGTGAATATAATGTAACTGGAATATGCTTCATGCAAAAGGTCTCTTGTAAGGTATTATTACAAAGCTTATAATTTACTGAGTGTGATTATTCTATTTGTATAAATGTACCACTCTTGTATCTGAAACTAGAAATATGAAATACAACCCTGAGGGCCTATTGTAATTATGTAAAGTGTGCGCCATTAATGGTGGTTTGGAATCTTGATGACTCCCATTAACCAGGACCATTGTCTGCAGATGGCTGTGGTTTACTTGTAAGTTTTCCTGTATATGTGTGTGCTGGCAAGTGGGCAATGAAGTCTTGCAGTGACATGTGATCATGTCACCTGAACTGGAATTCATCTTTAACCTGGTGTCTTTCCATTGAGAAGGTGCGGGTGGGAATCCAGAGAGGGACAAAGGACTCCCGCCTTATGCAAAAGATATATAAAGGGGTGGAACAGAACAAAGTGGAGGAGCCATCATGAAGAATTCCCTAGCTACCACCTGAGCTGGAACAAGAGCTGTGCCAGGGGAAAGAATTGTGCCCAGGCCTGGAAGGTGTCCAGTCTGAGGAAAAAACTTAGTGAAGCATTTCTAAAGGTGAGATTATCTGTATTCAGTTTGATTAGACATAGATTTGCTCATTTTATTTTATTTTGCTTGGTTACTTACTTTGTTCTGTCTGTTACTACTTGGAACCACTTAAATCCTACTTTCTGTATTTAATAAAATCACTTTTTACTTATTAATTACCTCAGAGTATGTATTAATACCTGGGGGACCAAACAGCTGTGCATATCTCTCTATCACTGTTATAGAGGGCGAACAATTTATGAGTTTACCCTGTATAAGCTTTACACAGGGTAAAACGGATTTATTTGGGTTTAGACCCCATTGGGAGTTGGGCATCTGAGTGTTAAAGACAGGAACACTTCTGTTAGCTGCTTTCAGGTAAACTTGCAGCTTTAGGGCAGGTAATTCAGACCCTGGGTCTTTGTTGGAGCAGACGGGAGTGTCTGGCTCAGCAAGACAGGGTGCTGGGGTCCCGAGCTGGCAGGGAAAGCAGGGGTAGAAGTAGTCTCGGCACATTGGGTGGCAGCTCCCAGCGGGTTTCTGTGATCCAACCCATCACACACAACTATCGACAAAATTCCCACCCAAGCATAGCTCACGGGGCGAGCATTTAAACCAAACTAGCTAAGCCGCCGATAGCCTAACATGGTAAGAAGGCAGGAAACATGACGTCTTGCTCAGTTTACGCTGAATGCGTTGAGTTGGGGCTGCCCTTACTGGTCGCCGTGGGTTATTTCTGCAGTCAGTGGAGCAGGACATTTAGCTGTCTATGCATTTATAAAGGATGGCTACATTGCAAAATCCAGCAGCTCCTCAAGTAGTTCTCATTTGACCCAGTGGACAGGGCACAAATCCCACAATAGGAGACCTATGTTCAGATCCTAGGTCTCCTGGCTGACCTTGGGCAAGTCATAATGACACTGATCTCCTTTGGGGCTGATGGAAGGAAAAGTGAGATATAAGAGTTAGGTAGGGTGACCAGACAGCAAATGTGAAAAATCGGGACAGGGGTGGGGGGTAATAGGAGCCTATATAAGAAAAAGACCCAAAAATCGGGACTGTCCCTATAAAATCAAGACATCTGGTCATCGCAGAGTTAGGCGTTGTTATAAACCAACTGAAAACCACCATAAAAGTTGAAGGTTACTTACTGAGAGATGGATGAATGGGTCAAAATTAACTTCCATCGAAGCATGGGTAGATGTGGCGACAACTAGAAGTAGGAAGCAGAAGACTGTAATGCCCAGGGACGGCATTTCACCCAATATTTTATTGCAGAACCTGAATGAAAAATACAGCAAAAGGTTAGGAATTTTTCTATTGATTTATATAGTGAAAATCATTAATAAGCCCCATTGAAAAGCACTATTTTCAGTCAAATTATGGTCACTGTAGTGCTAGGTGAGCAACAAGCCACAACGAGGGGGAAATACTTATTTATATAATGTACTTCCTTTTTTCTTTCCTACCACATGACTTTGTCCTTCAACTCCCTTTCCCAGGGTATCCTGGCCCTAAAAGGCTCCCTGGCTTTTTTTGTGCTTGTAGTACTTCTCCCTGAAATGTGCCAGCTCTGCTACCTGCCAAGGGCGAGAAAGGGATTCCTTTCATTGTTGTTATACATACTGGGGAGCACATGGACGTGCCATTCAGGGATTGCCAGGTGCTGTACACAGTGGATAAAGAAAAAATGATCCCTGCCCCAAAGAGGTTTCAGTCCCAGGACAAGACGGAGCGTCTGGTTTTTACCAGCAATGTGCTATGAGTGCCATTCTCATGACCAGCATTGCAGTTACTAGACTAGACTCGTGGCTAGGGAAGTTGAGTGGGACTCAGGACTGCTGGGTTCTATTCCTGACTCTGCTGTGCACCCTTGTCTGAGTCACCTCACCTCTTGTTTTGCTTCTGTTTCATCTCCCACTCTTTGTCTTGTTTATTTAGACTGTAAGTTCTTCAGGGCAGAGACTGTTTCTTACTGTGTGTGTGTACAGCACCTAGCACAATGGGGCCTCTAGGCTTTATGCTAATAACAACAATAATGTTCAGGAACAGTGAAGAGTTTCTAAAAGGTCTCAGCTTCAAGCTAGTGTTTATATTCACCCCTATGTAAAGGATGAACATAAGGCCAATGCACCACTTTCAACGCGGTATGTTTCCGGATCTTCTTCCTAGACAAGGAGGAAATGAGCCTGCTTTCCTGGAGAAGCCATCCACGGGGATACACATTTGTAAAATAGAGAAGGACGGCATTGTGAGGGGCAGGAACAAAACTCACTCCCAGTAAAAAGGGACAGGATGTGAATGAAGATACAAAAATTAAAACCCAGCAATTTTTCAGATTTCGAACACCAAATATGTTGGGTTCATTTAATCAAAACATTGGAAAATGTAGAGGAATTTTTTTTGTACAAATGTTTGTTTCCTTCTAAAGACTCTTTTTCATACGGGAAAAAAAAGCTTTTCTATGGAAAAAAAAATAAGCAGCTTATTTTCTTGCTTACACCAGTATACAGCTATAGTAACGCCACTGACTTCAATGGCGTTACTCCTGCTCTACATTGGCGTAAGCAAGAGGAGAATCAGTGTAATCATAACTAGTTTGGAGCTATTGGGCCAAATTCTGCTCTTTTTTGTTGTTATTTACCATTTGCATTACTGTAGTACCTATGAATCCCAGTCAGGGACCAGGGACCCATTGTGCAAAGTCCTGTACAAACACAGAAAAAAAGACAGGCCCTGCTCCAAGGGACTTACAATCTAAGTATAAGAAAAGAGACAACAACTAGATAGAGCCCGATGGGGGAGCCCAAGGAAACAAAGAGATAGTACTGGTTAGCACGACAGGCAGTGGTCTCTGCACACCAGCAGCCTAGCCGTTGTTAGCATCATGGCAAAAGAGATTTTTGAGGAGCAAATTGAGGGTGGATAATGAGGTCGCTTTGCTGACCTTTATTGGGAAGGGCAGCGTGGGAGCAAGTACGAAGGCACTTGTTTAATTTAATAAGTGGGCAATGGACATTGGCATCGTGGGCCGATTGGCAGTGGGAGCTGACATTTCCATAGCAAATGAGAGATGGTAGGTAGGATACGGATAGGCTGTGAGGGCAGGGCCCTGAAAGTGAAGTCAAGTAGGTTATGTCTGACCTAATAGAACAGGCCAACCAGCAGAAGGATGCAAAGAGAGGGGAGACACGGTCAAAGTGTCAGGCTACAATGATCCTTGAAGCAGCCTTCTGAGGGGATGTGAGAGGGGCAAGATTGCATTTGTCAAGGCCAGAGGGAAGGATGTGGCACTAATAGCAGTGTCAGATGATGAGAGCCTGGAGGACAATGTGAGCTGTGTGGATGGATAGGAAAGGCTGTATCTTGGTGATGTTATGCAGAAAGAAGATTTAGACATAGCCTGGGTATCATGACAGAGATCTGAACGGAAGATGCGGCCCAGGTGATGGGCCTGAATGACAGGCAGGATGGTGATGCTGTCCATAGGGCTTGAGAAAGGAGGATGAGGGAGGGTTTGGGGAGAAAGATTACGAGTTCTGTTTTAGCCATGTTGAGCTTGAGCTGACATCCTGGAGGAGAAGTCAGTGAGACTGGCTGAGGCTTTAGTTTGGACAGAAGAAGACAGGCCTGCAGTACAGATGTAGATCTGTGAGTTGTCAGCACAGAGAGGGCAGGTCAATTTGTGTTTGTGGATGACATTGCTCAGAGATAAGTGGTAGATGGAGAAGATAAGGGACCAAGAGCAGAGTCCTGAGGAAAGCTGGAGGGGGAGATGAGGAGGATTCTCTGAAGCACTTGCTGAAGGAGCGATTAGAGAGGTAAGAGGAGAACCAGGAGAGGACTGAGCCACAAAAGCCAAAGGAGGACAAGATTTCAAGAATAAGACCACGGCCCACTGTGTTGAAGTGGCTGACAGGTCAAGGAGAAAGAGGGTAGAGAACTAGTTCTGAGATTTAGCTAGGAAGAGGTCATTACAGCCTTTGGTGAGAGCGGTTTCAGTGGAGTGCTAGGGTTAGAAGCTGTATTAGAGAGGGTCTAGGATGGAACTGGAGGAGAACTGCAGACAGTGATTGTATGTAGTGCAGTCCATGAGCTTAGAGATAGAAGGGAGATGAGGAATTGGTTGGCGAGGCAAGTGGGGGCCAAGAGGGATTAAGATGGGAGGACTACAGCATGTTTGTATGGGGAGGGGAAAAGCCAAGGGAGAGTGAGAGGTTCAGAAAAGAGTATGGGAGCAGATGCGAGTGGGCATGGGGGAGACCAGGAGATGGGATGGGGTCACAGGGGCACGTGGACAGTAGGAGAGCAGCCAAGAAACTTCTGTGTCTGTGACAGGGAAGAAGGAGGAAAGAGTTGTAGGAGGCGAAGGGGGAAGGCGGGCAAGTGAGGGAAGGGGGAGATCGTGTCCTATTTTGCCCATTTTCTCTTGGAAGAAATTGGCGAGATCCTGTGTGGAGAGAAAGTGGAGGCAGGAGGAACAGAGGGTTTGAGGAGTGAGTCAAAGATGGTAAAAAGGCAGCTGGGATTGCAAGCATGAGATCTGATTAAGGTGGCAAAGTGGACTTGTTTAGCTAGGAAGACGGCAGAACTGAAGGAGGAGAGAATGAATTTGTAGTGTAGGAAGTCAGGCTGGTCATGGGATTTCTGCTTGAGATGCTCCTCGGTGTGAGGGCAGGCGCAGAGGAAATGGATGTTGGAGGAGAGCCAGTCACATTGGTGTAAATCCAGAGTAACTCCACTGGAACAGCTCAGAAGGGGGTTACTTTGGTAAGACAGAGGTGGGGCCAGTGATGCCCAACTATATGGACCCACTTGCCATTCTGTCCTATGGATGGCGAGGTGCTGCTGTCCTGAGTGGATCCTTCTCCCCAGACCCTATGGAAATCATTAATGCACAGCCCAGTGCCTTATGCTGTGCACCGATACCAGTATTTAAAGCAGCATCCCTCACACCAAGCCAGGACCTCCATTCAGTGCTGATTCCAGGGGAAGAGTGCCCCTCGCTGACTAACAAACCTCACTTCATGAAATGTTAGGAAAGTGCTTGGACTCTCCCATCCCACTGTCAGGCCCATCACACACTGTGGCTGCAGGCCAGACAAATTCACATGGAAACATTGCACGCTGTATGGTACTTTATGAAAGACTCTCTGTAGTCTTCATGCAAATTCTATGAGTCCATACGCCCAAACTCTTTGAGGTCTATGAAGTATAGGGGAAATGTATGCCGTTAACTGTAGGCACATTCATAAATCCACAAAACATAGAAGAGAAGAATATTTATTATTACTACTATTACTACTAATAATAATAATTAATAATTTGTATTGTTGTGGCACCCAGAGGTCAGGGCTCCATGCGATATGCAAACATATAACACAGAGACATCCCGTGCTCTGAAGAGCTTACAGTTGAAACAAACCACAGGTGGATAAACAAATAGATGGGGAGAGGAAACAATGAACCAATACTAATCATCATGAAAAATAGCGGTCGCGCTGAGCATAGACTGTGCCTTGTGAAATTTTGCATTCCCCGTTCCTCCATTCACAGTCTTGTGTGCAACTACAAGCACTCTGGGTCAGAATCTTTCCCCAAATACATCATCAGGGCAGCCACATAACTAAGAGCAAATGTCCCATTAGCTGTATCTTTAGTAGGTGCAGTTAGTAGCTTGCCAAAGGAGACATGCACTAATTGTGTTGCATCTGAAGTGTTTTTTTACCCACGAAAGCTTACGCCCAAATAAATCTGTTAGTCTTTAAGGTACACCGGAATCCTCGTTGTTTTTGTGGATACAGACTAACACGGCTACCTCTCTGATACTAATTGTGTTATTACTCAAACATAAATATTTATTTATGTATTAGGTAAACACTGAGGTGTACATTTTAATTATACAGTGTATCTAAACAGGTTTCTAAATTTATCTTGTTTCAGAGCAGGACGGTACAAAGAACTGTCATATGCTTTCTTGTTTGCATATGAACGTGTAGTAAGAAAGATTATTTTCCTGCTGAACAAGTGCATTGTTTTGATATTCTCTATTATAATGTTTCCTTCCAATACATTACGTTATATAGCATGCCATTAATAAATAATAGATCAAAATTTCCTGGGATTACACCAAATCTGAAATTAAGCAAAAATTAAGGCAATGGTATACAAGCAAGTTAATTGCACTATTGCAGGCCTGCACAACTTGTAAAGCAGCGAGGGCCATATTACTCCAAAGAAAACAACTAAACAACTGAGGGCCGAACTCCCCCCCCCCCCCC